AGAGACCTCAGGAAGTCATCAAGTCCAGCCCCCTACCCAAGGCAGGACCAATCCCAACTAAATCAACCCAGCCAGGGCCTTGTGAAGCCGAGACTTAAAAACCTCTAGGGATGGAGATTCCACCACCTCCCTAGGTAACCCATTCCAGTGCTTCACCACTCTCCTAGTGAAATAGTTTTTTCTAATATCCAACCTAGACCTCCCCCACTGTAACGTGAGACCATTGCTCCTTGTTCTGCCATCTGTCACTACTGAGAACAGACTTTCTCCATCTTCTTTGGAACCTCCCTTCAGGAAGTTGAAGGCGGCTATCAATTCCCCCCTCACTCTTCTCTTCTGCAGACTAAACAAACCCAAATCCCTCAGTCTCTCCTCACAGGTCATGTGCTCTAGCCCCCTAATCATTTTGGTTGCCCTCTGCTGGCCCGTCTCCAATGTGTCCACATCCTTTCTCTAGTGGGGGGCCCAGAACTGGACATAATATTTCAGATGTGGCCTCACCAGGGCCGAACAAAGGGGAATAATCACTTCTCTAGATCTGCTGGCAATGCTCCTCCTAATGCAACCTAATATGCCATTAGCCTTCTTGGCTACAAGGGCACACTGTTGACTCATATCCAGCTTGTCATACACTGCAAGCCACTTGATTTGAACCCTGATTCAATCTTTGAACATTTGGGGTTGACAGTAGTGAAACCCTGGGAACAACTGCCAAAGTAGTCAGTGAATACTGACCTCCATCACATGACAAGACCATCTTGCACCCCGTTCCATGTACTGTGATTGATTCCAGGAAATAAAGAACATGTCTGTGTGCCACCCTTATTACAGATAGGAAACCTGGGGGGGAAGGCAACCTTCAAGGAGTAAATCTGTATAAGAATGTTTGAGAGAATAATAAAGTTTGAAAGAATGAAGGACAGTGTGGGACAGAGAATTGCAGTGAAGTTTCCTGGCTCTAAAGGTTACTCTGTCTTCCCCTCTCCTATGATCCATCTTGGCAGAACTGAGCTCTTGTGGGGAAGGAGGAGGACAAAGAGGTGGTAGGTACAGGAGATTCTGAGCATCAGGAGCTAAGCACTTTGGAGAAGAAGGCAGAGAGCATAAATTAGGAGAAGAGTGAGCCTGTATTTGAGTAAGCAGGCAGGGAGAATTAGGGATCTGGAAAAGTCTGGATATTTGCAAGGAAAAAGTGAGTAAAGAATTTTGAGAGAGTAAGGGGTTGGTATCCTGGAAGACGGAGCTAAGAAAAGAGAACACGGGAGTTCTGACAAGCAGTTCTGGGTGGGGTGGAAATGAGGGATAGGGAAGGAAGAGGATATGGGTGCAGAAGAAAAGAGACATGGATAGTGTAGGAATCTGATGAAAAGAGAACAAGTTAAAAGGCTTTGGAAACAAGTGTCAGGTGAGAGAGTAAAGATGAGGAAGAAGTGATGAGGCTTTGGGATAGTAAGAAAAGAAGATATGGGAGGAAAGGTCAGAAAGGCTAGTGGGTATAGTGGGGAGGATGCAGAAAGTGATGGGCTATGGGAGAAAGGAGAGATTGGGAAGGAGGACAGTGAGTGTTACGGGAAGAGAGAATGAGGGGATTTGGGGTAGAGAATAGGGCAACATGAAAGGTTTTGGTAGGGAAGGAGCATAATAAGAGAAACAAAGGGTTAATGGGGAAGGAGAGACTGCTGCTGAACAAACATTAATTTGGCAAGTGCTGCTGGGGAAAATTTACACTGATGGGAGCCTCCTGAGTGTAGAGACTCAGTGTTATAGTGGAGGGTGTTTCTCTCCATCCTTCCCCCACACCACTTCTAAGCTTTATTATTTAAAACAAACATTCTATATTATTTCAGAACAAATACTTTTTAAATGAATATATTTAAATTTACTAGTAAACATTCTAAAGTTCAAAATTGTAATAAAAACTACTGTTTAATCATGTGGACTTCAGCCATTCAGTTTTGTCCCTTTTTCCTTCAAAAGGATGCCTATTTTCTGGGACAACCCCAGATGAGGGTATATTCAGAAAAGAAGAAAGAATTGTGTCCCTTGGAGCTGAAAAACAGTCTGAGCATCATACTCCCTTCAGAATGCTCTTTCAATAGGATTACAAACTCAGCAATGAACAGTTAAAGTGCTCATTACAAATATCTTGTATGTAAAAAACATTCTTCTCAATTCTTTTTCAGTGGAAACACAGCATCTTTCCTAGCATCCAAAGGAGCCAAAAAATAGGATCTTTCTGACATCAACTGCAGAAAAATTGTCAGAATACCTGCGACTCTGGTTGCTCCCGCCTATCAAACAGAGAATGGATTTGGGCATTTGCAGAGGAATTAACATTTATTTTGCACCTTTAGGGCCCACTTTTTGTTGTTAAAATCCTCACAAGTGCATCATGTCAATTTGACTATTTTTAATTGATTTTATTCAATGTTAAGTATTGAAAATGATCATCCCAACAAAACACAGTATCCTACTTTCTAATATGCTATAATCAATGAATTACTGCAAAAATGCTGGACAATGGTCTTATATCAACTTATGCGTGGACTCCCAGATGGGAATCAACATCAGTTCTGCATAAAATAGCATTATTTGGGACATTACCATGAGTATAACTTTTTTATCATTAGACATATAGGATAATGACAATCTAAGCTAAGAATTAGCCATTAAAAAGGCAAGCACTCTATTTACTTCAGCATTAACATTCTGTAGTTACTCACTTATAATAGAAGAGGCAAAAAGGAGGACCATAATTTGCACTTCCTGTACAATACAGAATATGCCATCATTATTGTATTCAGGATGGTTTGCCATCTCACAATTTTATCGTGACTCATAATATTTGGGGCTTTTTTCTTAAAGACCCGACTCATGTATTTATATAAGTAAGTGAAGAACTCTGCTTTTATTTAAATATTCTAGCCCTTATGGTTGTGGAGACGTTAGAAATTGTTACCCATAAATGGTCAAAAGCCAGAAGGCAAATAAAGATCCAAATCATTTCTCTTTTTAAATCTCATAGTTTTAAAACAATCTAATGATTTCTGAATGCCTGAATTGTAATTGCTGAATGTGTGATATTGGCAATGCTGTATATCAAACCAAGCATTCAAGCTTTGTCATAATACTCTTCCCCTTTAGGCTACTTTCTGAGTTGCCTCCAGAGTGAAAATGTTTTAATGATATAGGTAGGCAATATGGACAAGTAACATTCAACAGAAAAAATATTTTGTCAAGGTTCGTATGAAAGGCGGATTTCAATTATTTCATTAGAGACAGGCTATTAATTTTTCTTGTGCTGGATTAGTTCAGTACACATGGAACTATGTAATGAATGTATTCCTCAGTATTCAACAAGGGAATACTTGGTTTTAATCAGCCCATTGTATCTGAGTTTCTTCATGCTTCCAGCAGGTTGCAAAAAGCCCAATAATGTACAGATCCAAAAAAATTGGCATCGACACAATAATTAAAAGAACAGTGAATTATACAGAAAAAGAGATTGACATGTAAACCCAGAAGCCCTGTTAAAAAGAGCTAATATAAAAATATACCTTTCATTAATATTCATATAGCCACTCAGCTTTGACAGCAATTAGTATACCCAAGTTTGGCAAATCACACACATGGTTTTGGGAAAGGAATAATAGCTTTGTAATGCAAGAATTTCTCATCCAAAAAATGAGTAATATTCAGCAGTGCAGCTGTGTGCTGAAGAGTCATTTTATCTTTTAGGGTGGATGATAAGGTTGTTTTCGGGTTTGTGCCATTTATAATACTGCATCATATGGCAAGTATGCAGCATAAAAACATAGGGCTTATTCAAGCTTCCTTACACCAGATTTACATCACTTTAACTTCACAGACCTTGATGAAGCCATTCCAAATTTACATAAATATCCAACCAAAAGCAAGTACTTAGCATGTATTATTATCTGTGACAGAACCTGTAGAGTGTGTGTGTCTGTGTGTCTCTCTTCCGCTCTAATTCTTTATTAATAAATGTATGTACCAGCCCTACTAACTCTTGCTCATGTGAGTAGCATCATGAAAGAACTATACACAGGAGTAAGGGTTTGCAGGATCAGGCCTCTGAAGTTATCTAATTGCTAAAGCTAACAAAGGTTTCCTAAAATATAACCTAATCTGTTCTAACAACTAAAATACTACAATGCATTAATTGTACAACTTTTTTTCCTGTATGCTATTTAACTGACATGCCTTAGAAAGTAGTCAAATTATCCTTAGAAAACTTCACTGAGCAGAGCTTGTCTGTTTTTTGAAGGGAACTACCAAGAACAGTAACATGAGTGTGAGGAAGGGAACCATCGAAGTGAAGGTTAATACAAGGAAAAAGTGTTTACCATGTTTTAGCAGAATATGAAATTCTATGATTAAAGGAAAAGTCCACTAATTTCTGTCTGATCTACTTTCTACTATCTGCAAAACCAGTGGATCTGCTTGCTCACTACAAATCACTCATCTTTTTAATACAGGGATTGTTTATTGGGGAAATAGGTGAAAAGGGTTTGGAAGAAGATGAATCATGTTCTTTCTGGAGACAAAAACTATTTTTATGCCTTTCCCGGAATGCCGTTCTCACACTGGTGAAATTGCAGGCCTTAGTTATTCACCAAGGAGAGGTATTACTCAAAATGCAAAAATGCATGTGTAGTTTACTATAAATAAGATATTTGCAACAGCTAATGTTATCTAAATTTATTTTGGAAGAGATCTATGACTTGTGTTATACAGGAGGCCAGACTAGGATAACAACGATCCCTTCTGACCCTGAAATCAAGGAATCAAAAAGGACTCTTATAGGTCTATAAATATTTAGGAATGGGTGAGGGGGAGAGAAATACGGATTACTCCTTGCTTTACACCAAAATACATTCTAAAGTAAAAGCTACAACTCATTTCTTGTTTTAATGTTAATATATAGTAAGTGAGCTCAAACGAAATAATTGCGCATTGGCAAGCATGCAAGTCCATACCTTCATCTCTATAACTGTCTGAAGAGCTTTTGTCTTTGCTGGTTCAGGCTGAAGTTGGGTTCTTCTGTGTAGTTCCTGTGGAGGAACGCGATAAAAATAAGCTTGACGACTCATATTTCCATTATTTTGTTTCTCAAATATAGTACAGTCCACAGCAAATTAAAAGTCTTTTCAGAAGTGCACAAGTCCAAATGCTACAGGTGCATCTTTCTTATGATTCCTCTAGCATCACTGCAGTCTCTATCTTATATTACAGTCAGCGTTGTCGGCACATGCGCTATTTCTGAAACCTCTATCAATAATTAATGACAACTGTGACAAAGCCAGCAAGTAATTTCTTAATACAAACATAACACTGCTGCTTTTGCCCAGACATCAAATCATAATTTATTCAATTATAGTACACTGTGTTGCTAATTCAAAAAGTAAAGCAAATAAATGTCAATTTAAATCTTTTACTAAACTTCTGTTTAGAGTTTTTCTACCAATATTTGAAGCAAGCAATTTAAATCCATTAAATTCAAATTTGACATTTTAAGAATAGTAATTATGTAATGCGTTGATGCAGCACCATCTACAGTAACTTTTGCATTCCAGTTTTCATGTATTCGCAGCATGGTATTTTTCACAGTTTAATATATAGGTAATAAGGATATAGACATTATGATTGCTACACACAGATATACAATTAAAAAAAAGTAAACAGTATCAGCCACTCTTGAAAGTTGAAGATGGGGGGGAGGTAAGATATTGACTACAGTGACAACTGTGTGTAGAAACCATTAATAGAAAAATAAGTATTGATTCTGATGCTGATGTGAATGTTTCTTACATGCTGTATGTGATAGTTAAATTCTATGATTTTCAATATGTATTTATTCTACAATCAGTCTCTGTCAGTGTCTCATTCACACACATGTACACAGAACAAAAGGGGTTTCAGATAGGTACTCGAGGGTTCTCATGGGATCTTCTGAAATTCAGAATCACCTGTGTAAGGGCTATTTATTGCTTCTGGCCCTTTCAGACACACTAACCTAAATGAAAATTTCCCACAAAGAGTTTCAGAGCTATGAAGAGGGAGATGTCTAAAATAACACTAATGGGTTCAGAATTAGCTTACATGAAGGATTACTTGCAGAATTAGTGAGAACTGAACTATGGAGAGTCGCTGTCTCCTGCAAGTCCAGACTTGTCCATTCCCAATCTTATTCACATCTATAAAGCTTAATTTCTGCAGAGCTACATCTTCAAGAATGGAGTGCAAATGATATTGTGGATGTGTCACCTTCCCTCCTGCCCTCTTTCTTCATCCAGATCTGGCAGATTATCATTCCCATCTTGTTGGGTTTCCTTACTTTCTGGTAAAACCTTAAGGCTATGTCTACACTGGCATGAATTTCCGGAACTGCTTAAAACGGAATACTATTCCGTTTTCAGTTTTTCCGGAAAAGGAGCGTCTACATTGGCAGGCTGCTTTTCCGGAAAAGCCCTTTTTCCGGAAAAACGTCTGTGGCCAGGAAAAGCCCTTTTTCCGGAAAAGCGTCTGTGGCCAATGTAGACGCGCTTTTCCGGAAAAGAGCCCCAATCGCCATTTTCACGATCAGGGCTTTTTTCCGGAAAAGACTACTGGGCTGTCTACACTGGCCCTTTTCCGGAACAGTGTTCCGGAATAAGGACTTATGCCTGAGCGGGAGCAGAATAGTTTTTCCGGAATAGCGGCTGATTTTGTACAGTAGAGCGTCGTTGCTTTTCCGGAAATTCAAGGGCCAGTGTAGACAGCTCACAGCTTATTCCGGAAAAGCGGCTGATTTTCCGGAATAAGTGGCCCAGTGTAGACACAGCCTATGGATTTATTTCTGGTGAGACCTTAAGGATCCCTCTCTCTCTCTCCTTTTTTTTGGGGGGGGAGGGGTTGGAAGCTGCTGCCCAAAGAGCAGTTGCAGTAAGCACATTATATTTATTATCTCACCTTCCCAATACCACTCTAGCACATTTGTTAGTCTCATCCACCCATTACACACACTTGTCTTTTAAGGTACATCTACACTGCTATTAAAGACCTATGGCATGGTCACAGTTGGCCTGGCTCATTTGATACAAGCTTGTGGGGCTATAAAATTGAAGTGTACACATTCGGGCTCACACTTGTGCCTGAGCTCTGAGACCCCAGACTCAGTGCCTCACCAGTTTTTATTACATGGTAGACCTACCCTTAAAAGTTAAGCTTTGTGACGGTGTTGTAATTTATCATATCTTTACACACAATGGAACCCAACCCAGTTGCAGTTTTTAGTTTCTCTCACAATATATCTGTAGTCCCCTTATTAAAGGTGCCTCTGCTTATTTTCTGGGAAGATCCTGTGTGCCGCGATCCAGCCTTGCAGACTACAATTCCCATGAGCCCTTGGGAAAAACAAGAAGGAAGTGACTCTTTGTGAGGGAGATCTAGAATCTCTCCATGTGCATGAGAAGAGAGGCCTAGCAGTCTGGGACTCTGCCCTTGGATTTTGAAACAGAAGGAGAGCCAGGCTGCTGTGGAGGAGTTTGATCCAGTCCAGGGGCTGTTAGAATGCAGCTACAGACTGGGACTAGATGCCTTTGGAACTGGGATCTAGCAGGCTGCTTCTGATAGGCACAGCATGAGGCTGTAAGTAATTGGGCCTTTTTGGAAAAGTGCTGCCTGGAACAGAGCTGCTGCCTAGCTTGGACCCTCATACACACTTTCTACAGAGAATCTCCACTACAGCTGCAGTTCTTCAAGTGCGCCCACACAAGCAAGAGTCTGAGATTCTGAGTCCAGGGGTGTGCACACTCTGGAGTGGGATCAATATTGGCAATGCAAATGCTAGATATATAAGTTCCAATTATTGTTGTGCACTTTATTAATACTGTTCATTGTTAATCCGTTAAACCCTGTTTATTTAAGTAAAGATTGTTTATTTTAATGTAATCTATTAGATGTATACGATTTCTAGTTGTTGTTCTGGAATTAGATCCAGATTATAGCTGGAATGAGTATATTCTGGAGGCTCTCAAGGCACATCAGTAAGTGTGTATAAGACCAGCCAGGTGGAGGCACCACCATTGTACATTCTTTATAAGCAAGGGACTGCAGCACGGGGGTGGGTAAGTTTTCCCCAACCAAACAACATCATCACTGGGGTACTCAGGATCTCCTTTTTATGTCAAGACCATCAGGTGCCCTGGCACACCTGTGCGTGTGACCTGCTCCCAAGTAACCCGGGGAGGAAAAAGGGGGTTACATATCTATTAAATAAAAATAACTAGTTTGGCTCAAAATATTACATCAATTACTACATTACTTTCTAACATCTCTAAAAACACATTCTGAAGAATTCAGGATTTAATATTTTAAATATCTATACAAACAACTAAAAAAAAAGGAAAGCAAATTAATTCTGAGTAAGGGCACGTCTATACTTAGCGCATGATTGACGCTTTGGAGGTCTATCTTTTAGCATTAGATTTAGCAGGTCTAATACAGACCCACAAATCAAATGCTGAGTTGCAGCCCCTACGGCAACTAGTACTCCTCCTTTTGCAAGGAGTGAGGGAAGCTGATAGAAGCATTTGCTCCCATCGGCCTTCCGTTATGTGGACACCACCAATGCCTGGCTTATGGTAAACTGACTCCAGCTATACATTTTGCATAGCTGGAGTTGTGTACTTTAAGCAGATTAGGTCTTCATGAGCAAATTAGTATTTGTAAGTGAGCAAAAATAAATTAAACAGCAACTAAATGATTGCATACAAAGGAAGATGCCAAAAGTTAATTCAATAAAAGCTCTTATACAGAAGAAAAAATATTTAGCAAAAAGGAGCTCAACTCTTCCAATAAAAGTTTTAAGATAAACGCACTTTCTATCAGAAGCCTAGCTAATTGTATTTCTTAACCCTGCTATCCCTGTATCCCTATGTCTAGACTGGCATGATTTTCCGGAAATGCTTTTAACGGAAAAGTTTTCCGTTAAAAGCATTTTCGGAACAGAGCGTCTAGATTGGCACAGACGCTTTTCCGCAAAAAAGCCCCAATCACCATTTTCGCGATCGGGGCTTTTTTGCGGAAAACAAATCTCAGCTGTCTACACTGGCCCTTTTGAACAAAAGTTTTGGGCAAAAAGTGACTTTTGCCCGAACAGGAGCAGCATAATATTTCCGCAAAAAGCACTGATTTCTTACAGTAGGAAGTCAGTGCTTTTACAGAAATTCAAGCGGCCAGTGTAGACAGCTGGCAAGTTTTTCCGGAAAAGCGGCTGATTTTCCGGAAAAACTGGCCAGTCTAGACACAGCCTAGAAGACCATAAATCAGCAATCTGCATTTATATAACATGAATGAACACAATAAATCAGTAAATTTTCCCAATCTTAATTGGTCAAAGTCATTTTATACTTAAGGTATGGAGGATAAGTAGTATGTGGCAAGACTAAATATCATAACATGCAGTTCTGTTCATGTTTATAGTCACTTTGTGTGACCTGTGGAATAGCCTAGTATTAAAGTTACAGGTAGGCCATTCGTATACTGAAAACTGCAAATCATATTGTCCTGTATCATCTTATTGTTTCCTTGAAATCTCATTCTGTCTGTATCTATTTGTTGTCTCTTCTTGCATACTTTGTGACACTTTTTGTTGTGGTGTATGTAAAGTGCTTAGCATAAACGGGCCCTAGTCCGTGACTTCTAAGTGCCGGGACAATAAAACAACAAATAATGATACATACTTCTTGATAATCATATAGGAGTTGGATTTATTCTGTGACCTGGTCTATACTAGACCAGACAGGTAGGTTTAAGGTACACAACTCCAACAATACAAAATGTCTGGGTGGAGTCAAGTTACCTTAAGCCAAGCTGTGGCAACTTCCACACAGCAGAAGGCCAATAGGCACACAAGCTTCCCTTACTCCTCACAGAACAAAGAGTACCAGACTCCAGCTGGGGTCTACCCTCAGCCTTCGATTTATGAGTCTACATTACACCCACTAAATTGAACAATAAATTGAACACTAAAAGATCGACCCTCTGGAGGTCAGTCTTCTCCCTAGTGTAG